TTACAATCCCAAATCAGAAGGAATGCTGGAAAGTTTTTTAAAAAGTGACTTCCTGATGCTGAAACAGCCTGCAAGAGATTCAGCTCAGAGAAAAGAAGCTCCCTGTAAGGGGAAAATAAAAGTTTAAAAAGAAAGCCAACCTTTAATCACAGAACATTATTTCACAGCAGCCATTTGGAAAAATAAGTGTTATTTTTTAATTTCTTTATTAATTAAAGTTGCTAGGAACCTCTTATTAGTAATCGATCACTTTGCTTCCCTGGGGATAAATATGATGTTACACAGAGCTCCATTCATTGAGTTTTTAGGGGCCCGTATTTCCATCACACAGTGAGAAGTTTGGTGTATATCTAAAGGTCAACGTTTAATAGCTGCAGCAGGAGACATGTTTGGACTTCCAGTTCCTGAACATTTATCGTAGAGAACTTAACTTTCAAAACTTTATGCCGTCAACCTGATGCTATAAAAAGTAAAATATCCAAGAACACAGAAATGTTTGTCCAAAAAAAATTTTTTTTTCCTTTTTGCTTTTGTTTTTTATTGTTTTTCAAAGTTTCCTCTCTGGATTTTTTAATTTTTTTTATTTCTATTTACAAAACAAATCCATTAATTTTCAACGAATGGAACAAAAATCACCCCATACATTCTATTCACACTTTGGAGAAGCAGTTCATGCCCATCAAACTACCAGAGCTGTGAAAACACCTCAGATTAGTTATAATTCGATCAAAATTCAGCTTGAAAATAAACGAGTTAAATTTTTTTTTAGCTGAATCTGTTCCTGCCTCTCTAGTAGCATTTGGCGCATTAGAGGTAAGTATAAACATGGCTTTGTTGGATTAGCGCTAAGAGTTTTTAATAAAAGGAGAGTATGGGTGGTATTACCCACGATTTGGCACAGAGGCAACATCTACAAAGCTTTCAATATTTAAGTACCAAAGATGGACAGATTTCTGCTAGTTTATGCAGAAATCCTTCAAACAGATTGGAGGGATTTTCCAAAGCCCGTTTTTTTTATAGTACCCTATGGCTTCAGGCCTTTTTAGACGAGATGGACACATTTGATCCGCATCTCTGAGGCCTCAGCACGATCTGTCATTCATCGGTAGCTGATAGAATCTCATGGCTGAAGCATTTGGAGACATTTCTGCTTGGGAACAACAGAGTAGCATTCACAGATGCCCCTTCGGATCAGGCTTTGCTGTGCAAATGAGAAGGCTTTTTTATTTTGTTCGAGTCGAGTTTGCTTTTACTCCTCAGAGTCTGAAGACCCTGGGATGGACCATGGCGCAGTGGAAACGTGGGCTGTGGTCAAACCAGTCAGTATTCCAGATTTTACTTAAAAGAAATGAAAGCCATGTGCTTAATTAATTCAGAAAACATTCTTAGATCTCGGAGCAACGCACGCCGCTTTTTCCATGTTTTAACAGTAACCACATTCTGCAGAAAGGCGTGGCCGAGGAAGAGGCTGGTACTGGTTCTGAGTCGGTCCGATTATTTCCACAACAGAGAGCCTGAGGAGATTTAAAAAATAAAGATTGTGACAGCAATGACTCCATGCTGTCGGTCACTCTGCTTATATATGCAGAAAAACCCGGGTTGATGTACAGCAGCATGAGTGATAGACTCCTGCACACCCCCCTCCCTCCCTCCCTTGCCTGTGTAATAATATATTTGACTTTACTGGATGTCCCAGGAGGAATTCCTAGAGTTTGGTGAACCGGAGTCTCTCCAGTGTGATTTCAGACGTGGCGAGCAGCGGTCATTAATCACCATGCTGTGACTGAACCTGTGTGTTCACTGCTTTGCGTCTGGTGTGTACTTTGGAAGTGCCTCTGTTTTTCTTTTCATACATGTTCATCAGTGATCACATCCTATCTATTCTCGGGGAAAATTGTAGCCAGCGCTGCAAACGGAGGAGCCGTTTTTCTCAGACGCGTGACCTCTGGCGTGTCGCTGTCTCTGAGGAGCTCCTGGCTGCTCGTCAGGGATACGGAGGATGAACAAGTGAAACGGTTGCGTGGCCTCCAGGCTACGTCGTCTCAGTTTTTTGACTCGGCCAGACTTTACAGCAGCTTCCTGTTGGGGTTCAGTCTACCGCTGCAATGATCCCCATCTGTTCAGGGTTTACCTTTTAAACTTCCCAGAGCCGCAGCGTGAGTGATGAGGTGTTCACAGCCGTTGCTGCAGAACTATTCTAAGATCTCAAGACGAGCGCTGAGATAATAAAATACACCGGCCTAAAGTAAAGCCAAATAAAAGAAAGGGATGTTAGCAATGCTAAAATGTGGATTAAATCTGGTTTAGGAGCATCAAGATCTTGCAGTAAGATGCTAAATGGAGATCTTAACCTCTGACTGGGTTAGTACTTTTTGCAGCCCTATGCTCTTACTGGTCCCACTCATCTTCTTCTATGATGGAATTGCTAATAAAAAGCTTAGCCTCCATCCTCCAGGAAGGGAGGAAATAGACCAGATGCTCATAACATCTGCATGCATATGTGAACGGTTCCATACAGGAACAACTAGGCATAAGTAGATATGAGGTCCTCTGATGACAATAAATATGAATGCCAAAACCCCCCCCCCAAAACTATGATTTATCACAAATATATCAGGCCCAGCGATCGCCTTCCGATTAATTGTAATGGTTTATTAGATAATAATTTGTTGCATCGGATTAGCTGATAATATCCGCTCAAAGAGAACTTCCTTGGAGGTCCTTCCTGCGTCTCTTCCTGGACTGAGAAACATCAAAGACCCCTGCTTTAAACTTTTTAAAGTTTTACAGCCTCGGGTTGCCTTGTTATCAGCCCATGCCTAACTTCCCACAGGTTTAACTGTGTACACACACAGGTTGCCATTAGCAACAGGTAAACATGTCCTATTTAAGCACTTGTCTGTCAGGATTCATTTATTTAACTCCTTGGAGCCCGTTTTGCAAATATGCTATAAAACATTGTTGTATTTTGTTCACAGCAAGAAGAGCATGTGCATTCCTCATTCCTCCAGTGCCAGTTATTACACACTCAATGTGGACCTAGCAAGCTCTTGCTTTGTCATAACTGGTTCCTAACAGTGTATGTTATCATTTAACGTTATAAATGTTGTAACAAATTAGTAATATATCTATATTTAAGATAAATATAAACTTTAGAAATTTCAATTTGGCTACTGCTTAAAGGCAATATATATACATACTGGCGTCAAGGGGTTAACATGCTTTCCTGTGACATTTTCGAGACTTCATAATGGTTACAAATAAACATGGTCCAATGGGTGTTAATGCTAAATATTCAATAAACAATGAAACAGTTTCATACTGGCTTCATTGGAGCCTCCTCCTCTGATGATGAGGAAACCTGCTCAGTCGTGGCGTAGCCTTCTTTCCTCAGTGGGAGATCAGCTGATGATAACAGGATGGGAGAATAAACCCCCACCCCCTAGCAGGCGGGGTGATCTCACTGCCTTCACGCAGACATCTGGCTGGCACTGATGAGACTTTCCCTTCATGCTGAAAGCAAAAGTTCTCTTTGTTCCTGCCCGAAGGTTGAAGGACATCCAGCATGGACCCTTCTGCTTGATGTTTCAATAAAATGAGGTGCTGACTGGGCATCTGAAGGTGGAGATCATGGACCCAGACCAAGTCTTTTATCTGGTGTGCAGCTGTCCCCCGACTGGAACCGCTACAGACCAAATGACCGCATACTTTAGCACACCATTACAGGACTCCTTTGCTAAATTTGCAAAAGAAATAAATCCATAGATCCATTTTTTTCCCCCAGAACTCACAAATTGAATTTTTGGGGGGTTTTAGCTGCTGGTTCTGTTTCGTCTCAATACTAGAACACATAGAGGACAAAATATGCTGCTCATTCGATGGAAGCTGTACTTTAGGTTCTGGCATCGAACAATTCATGAGTGCATTTAGCGGCCGTGCCTTGAGATCATGTGAAGGACATGCATCGCTGCTGCCTCTGTTTGGGATCCATTATTTGATTTGTAAGTAATATCCATCCATCCATCCATTTCCATCACGCTTATCCCAAGCGGGGTTGCGAGGGGTGCTAGTGCCTATCTCCAGCTGTCTACTGCAGGGTACACCCTGGACAGGTCGCCAGTCCATCGCAGGGCAACACAGAGAGAAACAGGACAAACACAAAAACTCACACCTGAGGAGAATTTAGAGAAGCCAATTAACCTAACAGTCATGTTCTTGGACTGTGGGAGGAAGCTGGAGTACCTGGAGTTTTTTTTTTTTTATTATAATTTTTTTTTTTGAGTTTTTACGGCACTAGTGGCTCTTTTTTCTGACAGTAGGCTGACAGGAAAGGGTGTATGAGAGAGGAGGAGAGACATGCATCACAGAACCACAGGTCAGTTTCAAACCCGTACATGGGTTGTGCGCACTAACCACTGCGCCACCTGCACGCCCATTAATAACAGTTATTGTGTAATTTTTAACATGTAGATGGAAGAAGAGAAAAAAGTATCAGTTTTAAAGAACTGCCCAGATGAAGCAGATTGGAGCAGTTTTAGGCTAAAAGTGTGGGGAAGTTAGTTTTGATACATTTAGTGAGATCAGATTCTATAGCAGTTAACCTCTTCTACAAGTCAGAGCAGATGGATGGAAAATTGGCACCTAAACATCCCAATTAATACTAATCAGGTTCTGCTTTCATGTAGTATTTAAAAGCATTATGTCACAGGACACTGTAAGACCTTTATTCCTGAGACAAACATTAAAAGGTCAAGGTCACAGTAAACTCTTTGTTCTGAAGCTTTGAATCGTGGATTCTGAAGGGTTCTGTTCAGACTTTCTGCTGCTGTTCATAGCTTTAACATTAAAGGAGACTCCAGACTAAGGTTAAGCCTCAGTTCAGGTCTGCATTGGTTCTAGAAGTCACTGCTGGCACAGTGGTTTCATAGATGGTTTCTTGATGGATCAGTAACAGTAAACCACACAATCGTATTGACTAATTTCCCTTCTGTCATTTGCAGATTCCCTTTGTACCTCAGAGGAGAGCGCTTTCATTTTGAATATGGCGTCTACTTACTGAATAAGAACATCGCCCAGGTAAGGAAGGAAGACATCCATGTAAAATCTAGTTCTGATAAAATGCCAGGACCTTTGATGTTTTTAAGACAGAAGAAAAAGGGAAATCTAAATCTAACATGTCCTTTAAGATATAAAATATGAAAGTATTCACAATAGCAGCAATAACCCTGATCAGTAGGTCATGCATCAGCTTTGTATTTCAGTGGCATTGTAGGTAATGCCACTGAAATACAAAGGTAAAGGTAATTATTGGTGAATAATGTTGAAGCAACACCTTTCTGCACATTTAATATCATAAAAACACAATTTTAATCAACAGTTATAATTCATAGAAACATTCTCACAGCTCAGAAAAGATTTTTACATGCAATATTACAGCACTGGTTTAAGAGACACGATAATATAAGATGAGAGGACTTTATTGATCTCATAATGGCGAAATTTACTTGTTACATCAGTTGCAGAAAATAATGCTACATACAAAAACAAGAAAATGTGCATCAAAGAAGCAAGTGTACAAAGTTGGGCAAAAAAAATCTATGTATACGTGTATATATACATGACGAATTTTTATATGCAATGCTGTGTATATATATATATATATATATATATATATAATATTTGTGTGTGTGTGTGTATATGTAAAGTTGCTCAGGTTTTGGTAAATAAATATAGGCTTTTATTGCACAAGGTTTAGTTGGTGTTAAAACTCTCCATCTCATCACTTCCACTGCCTGGTTTCTCTGTTGATCTGTAGATGGATGTTGTTTTCCTTACGAATATACACTATATTGCCAAAAGTATTTGCTCACCTGCCTTGACTCACATATGAGCTTAAGTGACATCCCGTTCCTAATCCATAGGGTTCAATATGACGTCGGTCCACCCTTTGCAGCTAGAACAGCTTCAACTCTTCTGGGAAGGCTGTCCACAAGGTTTAGGAGTGTGTTTATGGGAATTTTTGACCATTCTTCCAGAAGCGCATTTGTGAGGTCGCACACTGATGTTGGACGAGAAGGCCTGGCTCTCAGTCTCCGCTCTAATTCATCCCAAAGGTGTTCTATCGGGTTGAGGTCAGGACTCTGTGCAGGCCAGTCAAGTTCATCCACACCAGACTCTGTCATCCATGTCTTTATGGACCTTGCTTTGTGCACTGGTGCACAGTCATGTTGGAAGAGGAAGGGGCCAGCTCCAAACTGTTCCCACAAAGTTGGGAGCATGGAATTGTCCAAAATGTCTTGGTATGCTGAAGCATTCAGAGTTCCTTTCACTGGAACTAAGGGGCCAAGCCCAGCTCCTGAAAAACAACCCCACACCATAATCCCCCCTCCACCAAACTTTACACTTGGCACAATGCAGTCAGACAAGTACCGTTCTCCTGGCAACCGCCAAACCCAGACCCGTCCATCAGATTGCCAGATGGAGAAGCGCGATTCGTCACTCCAGAGAACGCGTCTCCACTGCTCTAGAGTCCAGTGGCGGCGTGCTTTACACCACCGCATCCGACGCTTTGCATTGCACTTGGTGATGTATGGCTTGGATGCAGCTGCTCGCCCATGGAAACCCATTCCATGAAGCTCTCTGCGCACTGTTCTTGAGCTACATGAAGTTTGGAGGTCTGTAGTGATTGACTCTGCAGAAAGTTGGCGACCTCTTCGCACTATGCGCGTCAGCATCCGCTGACCCCGCTCCGTCAGTTTACGTGGCCTACCACTTCGTGGCTGAGTTGCTGTCGTTCCCAAACACTTCCATTTTCTTATAACACAGCTGACAGTTGACTGTGGAATATTTAGGAGCGAGGAAATTTCACGACTGGATTTGTTGCACAGGTGGCATCCTATCACAGTTCCACGCTGGAATTCACTGAGCTCCTGAGAGCGACCCATTTTTTCACAAATGTTTGTAAAAACAGTCTGCATGCCTAGGTGCTTGAATTTATACACCTGTGGCCATGGAAGTGATTGGAACACCTGATTCCAATAATTTGGATGGGTGAGCAAATACTTTTGGCAATATAGTGTATATTTTCAATCTTTTTATTTTTATATTCAAGAGAGCATTTTAAGGTTCTTTGTTATATTACCGTATTTTCTGGACTATGAGCCTCTACTTTTTTCCCGCACTTTGAACCATGAGGCTTATTTGAAGGTGCGGCTTTTCCGTCGATGTTGCTTTAACCGAAGTTACAGTTGGAAATGGAAGCATATGTTAGCAGCAGGCATGACAGAGAACAGTTGTTCAGAATTCACACATTTTGACATTTATTTTCCGCATTAAAGCCCTCGAACCTATAAAAAGACGGTGCGCAACTTCTGCAGAGGTGAAATAAAGAGCGGAAGAAGCCGCATCTTTCATTAGAAGCTCTTACTGTCAAGAGCTAACAACCTAACAGGAGCTGTCATTCTTCTTCCTTACTCCAAGGGCAATATGTAGAGCTCCCCCTACAGGTTTGGTGAGTAGCAGTTTGGTAGATTTGAGTGGCTTATACTTCACTGTGGTTTAAATATCTACATTTCCAGTTTAAAAAACATATTTTGGGTTTGGCTTTTCGTGAGGGGCGCTCTATAGTCCAGAAAATTCTGTAATTTGTAAGATCTTGAAGCATTTCCCTGCATATTCTCTATAAGGCATCTACATTAAAATAACATTTTATTGTTTTACCATTATGTCTATCTCATTGAATGCCCAAATGACAGAGGATAAAAAGGTTTAAAATAACTCTGCCATGAAAGTTCACAATAATCTTTCTTGCCAACACCAACAAAAATACCTTGAATATCATTTTTTCTTGTTTTTTCTTTTACTTTGTCGTCGACCAAAAGCAGGAAATGTACAAACATTTAAGCCTGAGACCGAGACTCGAGTTTCACATCATTATTTCACAAATTTCCATTTGCTATCTTGCATTCCTGGATTAGACAGGTTGCACAAAGCAAGGGCCAGAAAAATAATAAAAAAAAGGCTTGGTTTTAGCAAAGGCATAAGGAGTCTCCACAGCTGACAGCTGATACACTACTGGTAACTTAATTATGATTTCATTTACAGTGTACATTTACATAAGGATTGAATAACAACTTTTATCATCGGTGCTCAGAAAGAACAAGGATAGTTAATTTAGTAGCATCTGTTTAGCAGCAGCTATTATTCTTAAAACTAAACATTCAAAAAACAACCAGAGTCTGATTAAAAAACAAACTCCAAATGGTAGTTTTCTTGTACTGGAGAGCAGAAGACCTCGTCTATTCAGCCAGGCTAACAATTGCCTTTAAAGTCGTAGGGAAATTATATTTAAATGTCAAATCAGACAATATTGTCCCGAAAGTTAAAAAATTTCTATTAAAAAAACAAAATAACACCTGAACACCTAAATTCAGCCAATGATATATCAACACTCATCAGTCAATCAAATTTTTTCGGTCATAGCATCTTGATTAATATTGTCGCAGCTAATATACGCAACGGTTGAAATTTACTTTAGCAGTGTTCACGGGGATGGACGTCTGTGTCTTCAGCAGGCGTAGAGCTTACAGAACTGGCAGCGTTGCGAGGCAAGGGCTCAAACATGTACGGCTGTAAGCCTTCTACACCAAACCAAGCTTCCGCCGCCCTGGCGTCCTCTTCCACAACATCTTCGTCCCCGCTTTCCTCCTCTAAATATAAATGTATGATTGAGGAGACTCATCCATGACCTCCGACACTAAACTCTCGGAAGAATTTGGAAATGCAATGGTTGGAACAGCCGCTTCCCTACGACTTAACGACCCCCCTTTCAGAGACTTAGATGGGTATGGGCAGGGGCGGATCTAGAAAAATATTTATGGGGTGGCGAGAGGGGGGCAGGAATTTTTGAGGGGTGGCAACATATGGCATTTGTTTACACTGAATTTAATCACAGTTATCACAGTTTGGTGAGAATAGTATGTAGAGTAAGTGTTTCATGTGAAACAGTTCATATTAGAAATACATCGTACAATGAAATCTCACTTAATGGGAGATAGAAGAATGATTACACTACTTCTAGAGGGGCATTATCACAGGAAAGGTATTACGGTAAGACACAGGTGCTGAGTGGCAGATGTGAGATTGACTGTCAGAGAAGAAACTATAAAAAAGAAAAACTTATCCATCAGAGATCTATGGACTGAGCTGTACTAAAGTGAGCATAAATACACAGTAGAAATAAATGGGTCAAGACACCCAAACAAGGTACTGGACATCTATGTATTGTTTACTCTGAACACACATTTATCCCATTTGTTCCTCAGTAACTTCACATACAGCAGTTAAGGCAACATGAAAGGGACATTTCATGCATGTACAGGTGCTGGTCATAAAATTAGAATATCATGAAAAAGTAGATTGATTTCAGTAATTCCATTTAAAAAGTGAAACTTGTATATTATATTCATACATTACATACAAACTCATATATTTCAGATGTTTATTTTGTTTAATTTTGATGATTACAAATGACAACAAATGAAAATCTCAAATTCATCATATCAGAAAATTAGAATATTGTGAAAAGGTTCAAAATTGATGGCCCCTGGTGCCACACTCTAATCAGCTAATTAACTCAAACCACCTGCAAAAGCCTTTAAATGGTCTTTCAGTCTAGTTCTATAGGCTACACAATCATGGGGAAGACTGCTGACTTGACAGTTGTCCAAAAGACGACCATCGACACCTTGCACAAGGAGGGCAAGACACAAAAGGTCATCGCTAAAGAGGCTGGCTGTTCACAGAGCTCAGTGTCCAAGCACATTAATAGAGAGGCGAAGGGAAGGAAAAGATGTGGTCGAAAAAAGTGTACAAGCAAGAGAGATAACCGCACCCTGGAGAGGATTGTGAAACAAAACCCATTCAAAAATGTGGGGGAGATTCACAAAGAGTGGACTGCAGCTGGAGTGAGTGCTTCAAGAACCACCACACACAGACGTATGAAAGACATGGGTTTCTGCTGTCGCATTCCTTGTGTCAAGCCACTCTTGAACCACAGACAGCGTCAGAAGCGTCTA